GCCAGCGCTCCATACAGCAGGAGGCGACTCCATACAGCAGGAGAACGACAGAAAGCCAGCGCTCCAGAACAGCAGGAGGCATGTATCATTCAGGGCGGTGAGGGCGGGCAAAGCCCAGCAAGCTATAAGCCACACACGGCCAAGGACGGGATATACTCGCACAAACATTCGGCGCGAACAACTTGTGCTCGCTCTCCCCCCATCCTTTTGGCCAATCCGCGAAGGGAATGTGAGGCAAATGCTTGCAGCTATTTGCCACCCTGGAATAGGATCAACGATCCCGTGAATGACAAAAGAGAGTTTCTCAGGGATTCAAAGAGACTGGTGCCGGCCGGCAGTTGCAGACTTTTGTACAGGAGCCTACAGCGCTTGACAAAGGGTCTCAGACAGGTTTTCTACCACGCTCACCTCGCAGAGCTGGCTGTGAAAACAGCCGCAGCCTCGTGCAGTTGTTCCGCTACGGCACGAGACCAGCGAAGCGACGGCAACAAGGCTAAGCCTTCCGTGATATACTGTCTGGCAACCGCGGTGCTCTGCCATCGGCCGCGAATGAGAGTTTTCTCCATGAGACCTTCGTGCGCAAAGAAAGCAGTCGCCCCCCCTCGTCGCAAAGAGTATGGGCGGAAATGGAAAGCTTCTAAGTGGAAGTGATGAACCAATTGTTTAAAAAGCTGGCGGAAGCGGGCGGCAGAGTGCGGCCACAGTGGACCTGTATGTTGATGAATGTCAAGCCAAGTCTTCACGAGCAGAAGCACATGTGGGTCATACAAGACTACAGATTCCACAACGTTTAAGCGTCTACCAGTCTTGGAAAGAGGTATCTGCAATATACCTTGTGAATCACCCAAAAGAAAATCCTGAGCTCGAATGTCCAGCATCTCATGAGTGCGTAGGAAGCAGTGAAACCCAACAGTGAGCAGCACGGCCAAAGCCAGCTCACCCATCTGAAGGGCGTGGCCTGCAAAAGCCAAGAGAACGCCAGCTGGGAGCGGCGGAGCCCGAATGGGTTGTTCCACCCGACGCCAAGTCCGGAAAAGGCGCCAGGCAGCAGGGAGGTTTCAGCGGGTGGGTGGAACGAAGTGGTGGATTGCGGAAAGCATATCCCCAATGTTAGAAAGGCTGAGGCCCTGCTCCCAACCGTCTTCAATGAAGCAGCTGAGCAGGTGGTCAAGATGGGACATTGACTGCGCGTTGTCCAACAAGCATTGAACGTCTTGCAAAGCTGCCCAGTATCGTCGCCGAGTTTTGTCCGAAATCGCCATGTCCAAGAGCCGTCGTCCTTGCCTTGCCAACCGCCGCTGCCGCGCAGAGCGGCCATTACGAACGACTGGCGGCATCAGTGGGGTTTACCAGACTGTCCACGTGCCCCACAATCAAGTGGAGCGCAGCGGCGAGCAAAGAGGCGGCAAGGCGGCGCAAGGAGCGATTAAGAGCGCGACTGGAAGAACGCCCTTTGGCAATCACGGACATGGAGACATAGGAGTCTGTAAGGTGCAGTAAGCGACGATGGCAGGAATCCGGTTGTCGGAGGAACCACTCGACGGCCAGCACAATCATCCGGAGCTCTAGCTCATTGATATGTGCTGCCTGTTTCCAACGGGATCGGAAACACAATTTCCACAGCCAGGAGTTCGGGTCGATGCTTTGTCTGGGGCAGGCCTTCGGGTTGAGCAAAAGACCAGTGGCAACACGCACGTCTGATCCAGTATGGTTAGCACGCCCGGCGAGAAAGCCAGCGAGCGGCAGGCCGCTATTGCAGTCGCTGCAACCAAACACTGGAATACGAGCCAACGGCGCCAAGCGTGCCACGCAAAGGGAGCCACCTGAGGCCAACCCTAGCCGGCTCACATAGTGCGCGTAGTGGTATGGCCGTACGTAGGAAGCGCACCCCCAGACTGCAAAGATGAGAACTGAGGGAATTGCAAAGCTATCTCCGATCAAGGAGAGGCGTTCGACTTCATAGTGATGCCAGTTTTGCTTGGCGAGTGAAGCGGACATTGCCGTAGCGGTGTGATTCAGCCCAAAGCCCATGAGAAGCTCCCGCTCAGAGGATTCCAGCAAGCGCCAGGAGGAGTCCTTCCAAACAAGGTACTCGGGCTTGAACTGATAAGGAGGGAAGCAAAACCCATAGGAGCTCCATCTCGCTAGCGTTAGCTCATCACACCGTGCGATGCCCGCAGGCGCAGGCGGTGGAGATGTGCGTTCAAGGCATCGCATGAAAGTTGGGAAAGGCGCCTTGCTTTCTCTGGACCAGCCCGGCAGGAGCCAGCTGGCCTCAGCCAAAGGCGGAGAGGATGTCACCACCTGCGTGAAGCCCTGCTGTCTCCACAGGGCCACACCGTCCAAGGCTACTGGGGGCATGTCAGTCCATATCAGCCTTGGACGAGACATGTTGACAGCGTCCACCGGATCAACCCGGAAAGGTGTGAGGCCCAGGGCAGCCGAAACCTCATCCCTGGCACTAACATCCATGGAGGCGACGTTTTCAGCCACGAGGAACACACGTAGATGAGGCGGAGCTACCCCTTTGAGAGTCTTCCAGACTCGCAAAAGTTCATAGAATAGGCTGGAGCTGGAACCCTCCAAGTTTTGACGTCCGAATTTTGCTGACGACAAGTCCTTGCACGGGAACCCACCCCACAAGTGAACCTGTTCAGCCTTGGGGTGCTGTTGCAGCAGCAGTCGCAGCTCGGGCTCCCCGAATGCCATCACATCCGGGAAGAGGACGGTAGCTGGCCAGGTGTGCTGCGTTACGCGGTTCGCCGGCTTATGACACTCAACGGCAACAAGCGCCAGCGGAGTCACCCCCGCGATGTCATAAGCTCTAAACGCGCCTCCAATCCCATTGAAGAGGGAAATCACCAAGATTGGGACTTGCACAGGATTGGTTGCGGGGTCCGCCAACCGTCCCTTGAGGTCCTGTCCCTGAGCAGTCTCCTTCAGGCTAACTGCGACCGCCCCACCGGAAAGCGACGCATCCGAGCAGGTCACCTGGTTGCTTGGCAACGCATCCAACTTGGAATGGAGCAAAGGTAACAAGCAAAGCGCCAACCACAGTTCCTGTTTGAGTTTGAGGACTCGTTTCTGAGTGTACCGGGAGTGCACCAGCTCCCAGGCCTCTGAAAAGATAGCCATCCCTGGGCGGCGGAATTGCATCGCGAACACCCAACGTCCCAGAACTATCTGCACCAACTTGCGCGAGGGACGTTTCAAATGCAACACCAACAGAGTGGAATGGATCAGTTTCATTGTTCTTTCCGGAGAAATCCCCATCGTTTTGGCCTCCCCATCAAAGAAAGCACCGAGCTCCTCCGCAACGCTACTGTTTGAAACCCGCTTTTTTGCAGAGGAGAGAATTCCCACTTGCTCCCATTGCTGCTCTGTGAGGAGGTGCCACTTCTCCCCTTTTTTGCAGGCGGCCTGGCCAGACTGCCCGGCGCAACCAACCCCTTCCCCCAGCTCTGCCACACACTTGTCTGCTGACACGAAGTTGTCTAAGTAGACCTGCCACCACGCTTCCCCTGATGAGTGCTCCAAGCACTGGCAGAACCAAGGAGGGAGAGGTGAACCCTTGATCACCTGGTCTGCTCGCGGCAGCGCTGCATGTTGTAGGATATTACTAGACAACTCTTGCATGATCCCCACACTTGATGACCAACCCATGGGAAGAACACGGCAAGACAACACTTTTCCCTCTTTTTTGATGTCAAAGCACATCCATGGCCTCCAGACCTTTGGCATTTCAAATAAATAAAATGCTGCGCTCATGTCTGACTGGTGAAAGAAGACTTGCTCGGATGGCCCCACAACCAAAGTGAGCCATTGCGTGATGTTAGGTAACTCGTTGATTGCGCCTGGAATCACTTCCATGAGGTTGTTAAGTGGGACGAAATTCATTATTGTACGCAACACACAAGAACCATCTTCCAGGAGCTGGGATTTACCTACGCCGAACAATCCGTTCAGCAGCGGCTTCCCGTTCACCACTGCCACGCGCGCGGATGGAATCCACTCGCAGACCCCCCGCGCAACCAGAAGCTCTGCCACTGTCATCACCTCCCCTTGAGCAACATGAATTCGCCCTTTTTTTACACCAGCTCTATCCTCCCAATCGGGACGAAGTAGTCGCGCGGGATCACCCAGCCACCACCTTGTCCCACTAGAGAGCCACCCCTCCAATGGAATAGCGCCACCGTGCCCCAAGGGAGGGAGTCCCGGCTCCATCCGGGCTGCAGTCAACAGCTCCATTTTTGCAACCTCTTCTCCTGTGTAGCTCAAATGTTTGGAAAACAGCTCTTTCTGTACTTCTTCTGTGGACGTCACTAATGTGCAGAGCCGCTTCACCCCAAGTGCACAGGAAGATTCAATTTCATGAAGCACTCTTTTCTGTTGTGCTGAGGGGGCCCTGCCCAAGGGCCCCTGATAAAAATTACCCAGAGCATTAAGACCCCAAATAGCAGCCTGACGAAGTCCCTCAGCCTCTGCAGGGAAAGACCCGTGCGACTCAACGTCGTAAGGAATAGGGAACAAATCCCGGCGGGAGCGCGGAGCGCGTGCGGATTGGCCAAATTGTAGCATCCAATTAGCAGGGCAATCAGCTTCATGACAAACCCCTTTTTTCAAAGACCGCAAAGAGCGAAGGACATGTTCCAGCTCTCTGCTTAGATCTGAAAGGGACGCACATCTCTGTACAACTTGCGCAATGTCCCAACTGTGAAGACAACAACACCCCTCTGTTGCGAAGTCCATCTGGGACTCGCCAAAAGAAGCGCGTATGCGCTTTTTCGTAGTGCACACTGGGCTTTCGCAGCCCGGTTTTTGTACATGCTCAACACCTCTGGCGCTGGAAAGAAACAAGGTTTCTGCATGTCCCTCCAGGACGGGGGTGTCAACGGCTTCACCAGACGAAACCCCTGCAGTTCCCTCATTTCTAGGAGGCTGCGCGGGAAACCCAGCAGCCTCCTCGTCCGAGGATAAGACGCACACGATGTGAGTCTGCCTCATTTCTTCCACCTCTCGTCCTTTTTCTTGCTGCTCTCTCCCGTCTTCTCTTTGCCTTTTCCTTCGGCGTCGTCGCCCTTGTGAAGCTCCCACTTGCCTTTCGGTTTTCCCTTGTAGTAGCCTTTGTAGCCCTTGTCGAGGTGGTATCCTTTCCCTTTCCAGGGCCCAGGGGGATATGCTCCGGATGCGCGGGCGGCCGAGACCGCGTGCTTCCTGGTCTTCAGCAAGACCCCGGGAGTCACCGCACCATATGCCTCCGGAGCTGCCAACTCCAAATGCTGGGCGGCCGTCCAACTCCCATCGTTCATGGCTGTTTCGATGGCAAGGAACCGAGCCGCCAACACGTCCCCGGCCTCGGCTACCTGACCCTGTCGGAGTTTGTCGATTACCACAGCAAGGGATAGCATTTCTCGGAGATCGCGTGTCCACCCCATTCCGTGCTTGGGTCGAATCACCTGCTGGAGGTAGGACACCACCCGAGACGCTTGCATCACGGACCCGCCGCCAGGAGTCCCCGTAGACAAAACGTCGAGCTCCTCTTGGATCCTCTGCAACAGCATTCCTAGCACAGACCCGGGGTTTCGGCGCGCCATCCGTGCTAGAGGTGCCTCCATCCTTGTTGCAGAGTCCGAGGAACTTGAGTTGCTCCGATCGCTGTTTCGCGAAGACCTGCTCGAGGAAGTCCGGCGGCGCCGCCGCCTGGATCTGGACCGTTTCCGGGACCGCCTTCGACTTTTCCTCCTCTTGCTCGAACCCCCGAGCCGGCTCGCAGCGGCTTCGGTCATCTTTGCCACGACCAGCTTCCCCAACGACCGTGCGCTCATGTCCCGCACTGGTACCATGGCTTTCTTGTCCTTGCCATCGCGACCCCCTCTCTCTCCTCCTGAAGCGTTGCCGGGAGGTAGTCCGAGATCGCGCCGCGCGGCGGTTGCCAGCGACGGACCCAGACCTTCCTGCGCAGAGAGAGAAGTTCCGTGACTCCCATCCATGCGGTCCACCAGCAGCGAGGGTCCTGCATCGCCCTTGCCAACTCCAAGGCCAGTCCCTCCACCAGGAGGTGTAACCACACGTGCTCGAAGCCGTGCCAACGTGTCTTCCAGACTCGTTTTTGTAGCACCTTTGCCACTGCCAGCTCCCAATGCATCTCTTGCGGCCAGCCTTGACGTGGACCTGTCTCCGACTCCAGCAAGGGGCGGAGTAGCCCCCCCTTTCCCAGAAGGGGTTCGAGCAGGCGCGGGAATGTTCCCAGCCAACTCCTCTTGTTGCTCGCGCCACCGTCTCACTTCGGACAGGGTACGCTTCCCAGAGCTGGTCAAGTAAGATGCCTCGAAACGGCTCGGACGAAACCATCGCAAACACCCAATGTGTATCATGGTCTCCTCCTGCACAGTACACTCCACTGGCCCTGCGCGGCAAATGTGTAGGTACTGCTTTTGGCGGTTTACCAACGAGGACATGGTCTTCTGTGTTCCTGGAAACCGGGCTCCAATGAACTTGGACTTTACACCCAGTCCCCCATCTGAAGCGACCCAAGTCTCCTCGACCAGGAAGGCCGCAACGTCCGCTTCGGGCCCAATCTCGCTTCCTGAGATGAGGGCCTCTAGGACATCCCCCGGTGTCGGGGCTACCAAGCTCCAACTCTCCAAATCGCTGTAGTCGTACTCCTCGCCATCCCGTTCTGGCGCTGCAACGTCCACATCGACTTCCACAACCTCCATCCCGGGCATGACTGAACCATCGCCCAAGTGAGCGGGGAGAGGCTCCACATGCTCGGCAAAGTCGCCAGCACCTAGAGCACCCCCCCCAAGTCCATCCAAAACTTCTTCTGGATGGTCCACCATGTTTACCAATCCCTGTCTTCAAAGAGCTCACGATCCGAGAGGCGCACTCTCTTGGCGGCCCTGGGGTCTTCAACGAAGCGCCCCAACCGCTGATGCTTACGACCTCCCCTCTTGTTCTTCTTCTTCTTCTTGTTCTTTTTGGCACTCTTCCTCGAATCCTTGCCGTAACCTTTGCTCTCTGGCTGCGGTCGCTTCCTTGGCAATGCTGGTCGTTCTTCGAGGTGAAAGCGGGGAGACGCAGCTTCGGACTCTTCCACTTCGGTATAGTAGCTGTACTCGTCTTCCTCGGGATGTGGAGTCTCCGCCGGCCGTGAGGTTGTGGCCGACGAAACCTCAACTGGCACTACTCCGGAACTTCTCCCTGGATCCGGGATCTTCTGTTCCTCCTTGGGGGTGACGGCAGTGGAAGACTGGGCAGCAACGAGGTCACTGGAAGGCCTGGCCTCCCCACCAGCCCCTTTGCCGGTAGGCTCCCTCGGGGCAGAGGGGAGCACGGCGCAGCCGTTAGGCTCGGCCTGAGCGACGAGGCTAAGGGTGCGGACCTGAGACAATGCACGGGCACAGCCCAGCACCAGGTCCTCGCCCAAAACCCGTCCCTCGGCCGAACCCCACGGCCTTGCCAGCTCCTGTTCGATCCTCTCCCAGGCGAGGCAACCCAAACACCAAAGGTTTGAGGCTTTAGGGGCCACTTGCCTGCACTTTCCGCACAAGGCCATGGAAAGCCCCCTACAAAGCCCAGCAAGCTATAAGCCACACACGGCCAAGGACGGGATATACTCGCACAAACATTCGGCGCGAACAACTAGGAATTAGGAACTAGGAACTAGGAACTAGGAAGTAGGAATTAGGAACTAGGAACTAGGAAGTAGGAAGTAGGAAGTAGGAAGTAGGAAGTAGGAAGTAGGAAGTAGGAAGTAGGAAGTAGGAAGTAGGAAGTAGGAAGTAGGAAGTAGGAAGTAGGAAGTAGGAAGTAGGAAGTAGGAAGTAGGAAGTAGGAAGTAGGAACTTGAGATTAGGAATCGGAACAGGAATAAGGATAGTGAGTAGTGAGTGGTGAGTAGCGACTAGCATATAGTGAATGGTAAGCAGCGAATGGTAAGCAATTCGTCACCAATAGTATTGAGTAGAGTAGTGCAGTAGGTACTGGTATGTTGCTGAACTGGTCCGGCCCGGCCTGGCAGCCAGAATGCGTCTCCTTGCATCTTCCCGCGCCTGCTTTGCGCCGCTTACCTTGGGAGGAAACTCCAAGTTTCAGCTCCAATCCACATGTTCGCGCACGGCGCGGTCTCATGGCAGTACGTCTCGGCAGGATGTAGCTAGTCTGCCATGGTCTGCCATGGTCTGCCAGTTCGAAGCCACGTGTTCCAGCAATCTGGTCTCAACACCTTTCACGACAAACCAAGGTCGCGGCCTTTGGTGCGGCAATCCTTGCAGTCAGCTGATGAAACGAACTGGGTAACTAGGCACCCTCTGCTTGCTCACAGGAGAAATGGGCCACCGACTTATGCTGAGGCTCGGCTGGCACCAATGCGGAGGCTGCCTGCACCTCCAACGCAGGGATTGCAGCCTCACCCGCCAAACCCCGCCGCATGGTTGAGCCTCTGTCTGTGCTGGTCGCACCGGTTCTGCGGCTGGCCGCCTTGCGTTGAGTCAGTATATACAACAAAACCACGCCTCAAGCCTTCCGTTCTCAAAGCAGCACAACTTGACATGTCAAGTTACTGCTCTGCTTGTTCTTCTGCCACAGCCGCTGCAGAACTGATGGGAGGCCTGAATCAGTTCTGGCTTCTCCCGGTGTATTCGTGTATTGTAATGACTGCGACATGCTGGGACGCTGGCAACGTCACATCTAGACCATCAGCATCTTGTGAGGGTCCTCTGCTGGCCTCATTCAGCTATGAGCATACGGTCGCCCCGAACATTGACTCTCGCTCCTTTGCCATCGCCTCAACATCCAGGTACACAGCCTCTCAAGCAGTCTGACACCAGTCCTCGACGAGGTCCCCTTCGGCTTGTCCGCCGTGGGCATCGCTCCTTTACGCATCAACAGCTTCATTGGACCTTTGAGGTGTTACAATGCCATCTGCACGGGTGCATCCCAGCATCTGCGCCGCAGTTGGTGTTGACCCTGCTGCCGCAATCGGGGGCCTGGGTAGTAGAGGCGACTCATGATGCAAAACCTTGCCGTGCCACGACCAGGGGCTGAGCAATCTCGAACCTTCACTTTTCATTTCACCTGGCCCGGCATCACCATCAGCAGCCTGTCGGCCAGCAAAAGTTCCACAGCTCCGCTGGCATTTGAAAGGCGCAAGGAGTTGTGACAGGGTGTCAGCACCTTTTTTCGGGAAGGGCCTTCAGAGGGCCTTACTTGTTCGGCTTCACTTCCGACCTGCCTGAGCTGCCGGGACCTCGGCTCCTTCAAGATCTTCAAGGGCGGTGTCAGCCGGAACCCTTGGAATGCTTCTGTCCGACGCTCACCCGCACATAGGACCGGCAAAGCTGCAGAGCGTCCACTGACAACTGTGGCGTTTTCTGCTCCTTGGGCTATCAAGCTGTCCCCTCACATCCACTAAGCCCTGCACCGGGCCAATGCATCCTGCTCTCCATCCTGCCTGCACTAGGGATACAGGTGTAGTTGTAGCCAAAACAAAGTCTCAACGCCTGGGCCCTGATGCATCCCGACACATCCTACCGGCCTCGCCATATTGACGACAGGAGTGAAACGCGTCGTGCATCAAGGCAAACGAATATCGTTGGCAGTGTCTATAAACTGAGGCACTAGACATTGTAACGGCCTGGATGGCATGGTATGGTGTTTGGCATTGCCTGCTAAGTCATCTGAGCAATCCCCTCCCCGACTCCCCGGCTGCCCAGCTGCACCAGGCCGACAACAGCCAAGTTGCGCGATGACAGCAAGTGCACATTCCGAACAAAACTGCACATTGACATGAGGCTCATGAAGCATGAAATGCCCACACTTAAACTAAAAACTGTGCCACTGCCCATCCGGTGGTTGCAAAATCCTGCAAACCCGACCGCTGTTTCGCTCTTGCAGAAGGCCGCAGCTGCTCGAATCCATTTTTGGATGGTCAGCTGCGGGAGAGCTAAGCTCCCTCAAAGATCGCTCATGAGAGCTGGTGCTCAGCTGCTTGAGGCTACTGAGCTACTGAGCCACTCCTACGCAGCTCAGGAAGTAAGTCAACTGCTGAGTGAGCTTGCCCTCAGGGAGCTCACCCCAGACCCACTCCATCTTGCGGCCTCGAAGCGGCGTCACAAGTTCTCACTTCGTGCGATGAAACAGAACGAGCCGTTCTGGGCCATTCCGGGCCATTCCTCACACAGCCAAACTGTCAGGATCCGGCACCATCTCGCATCGGAACGCAGATCGCAACGGCTTTGCCTCGCCAGCCGACACCAAGTACAAACGCAGTTCGTCCAGTCACAGCTGTAGCACGCGGCATTCTCTGCAAACCACAGACACAAATTGACTCATTCTCCATCAAGCTCCCACTTGCCTGCTTGAGTTGCAGCATCCACTCGCTGAGTCCTTAGCCGAAATTCCATGGCAATGAAACCGTCTAGAGTCTAGACCGCGCGTAATCCTTCTCAAACTCTCCGCGTCATCTATCCATTCCCCCAGGCACGTCTCTGAGTTGTCGCTTGCACTAAGCGTCTTCCTGCACCGAAAATGAAAGTACTTCCTTCGGTGTATTGTTTTCAATTTAAGTCAGCCATTTTCCTTGTGCAGATCCAATTCTGCAGAGTGGGGGAAAATGCTACATTCGCCACTAAACTCGGTGTTTGGACAGGTCATCGTCTGCCAAACCCCAATCAACAAAACAAAACAGGGGTTCAACAGACAACACAAAAAAATTGGATGTGGATGACCGCATTGGGATGATCGAAGTAAATGCAATATTAATCCGGCTTGCAGTATGCCCCCCCCCCCACATCACATCCCGGCCGCTTCGCCCAGCTGGGCACCACAATAGGGAATTCCTAAGGCCGTCACGAGTCAGTCGGGGTGGTCTCGCTCTCCTCAGAGAGTCGCACCCGCCAAAGCATGGCAGGCAAGCTTTCACGCACAAATCTACTCTCCTGTAGCCATTATATCTGACAGATGCGACGAGACAATGTGCGAAACTTTGAGACATTGCGTGAGGCCAAGGCCACAGTTGGACCAAAGTCGCTTGGACCACTTTGGCCAGTTCGGCCGACGTTGCCTCTTTTTGAAACCACCGGTTCATGCCGATTCTCCGACAGGCGTGTTCTTTGCAGTGGCAACCGCCCTTGCAATCGGCTCTGATCTGAACCTCGTGGTGTCCGCGGCGTTGGGTCTGACTCATACCTCCACTAGCCATGCTATGCCGTGCACACAGCGGAGACTTGAAAAGGGTTTGTCAATGTCACCCTGCCTTGCCGAAGGATTGAATGGAAGCCTGGCGGGCCTCAGCACCGCATCTGCACATATGACATGCTCGGCTCAACCAGAGGCAAGGCTGGTGCGCATCCCGCCAGGCCCCTCCAATGAGCCAATCCGTCCTGGGCGGCGGATTGCCAGGGTTTACTCGTCTTTGTCGCATTGCGGGGTCTGAGACTGATGGCATTTTCAATCGGGAACCGATCGCAATGCGTCCACAAGCGTGCGGAATATCCCAAACTCCTGGCCCTGGACGGCGTTTAACGAATGAATCCGAATCAATGTGCAACGCAGTCCTGTGGTGGTATTTCTTCGCGATGAATGGAGAGAACGGAGCACGAACTTGATGAGGGATCGTCTGCGGGACGCAAAAACCCAAGACAAAACGGGATGTGCGGACGGACGCACTTTGCAATGGAACACAACTGGAACACAGCCATGGGTACAGCTAGACGAGGAAGTGTCACGTCAGCTCGAAGGGCACGGACATTCCACGAGCTGCCAACAAGATTGAAAAGCCATGGCCTTCGAGCCATCCCATTCCGGCGGGTTGGGCCTTCAACGGTGGCAAGATGGCAAAGCTATGCAAAGCTTGCAGAAACGATCACAAGGAGTGGAGGAGTCACCGCATCATGGCGGCCCAATCGACTCAATCCTCCGCAAACTGCCTTTGTTTGATGTCATCTCGGCGCATGAGCGCACTGGGCTGATGCAGGTTCTACGGCTGTGGAGAACTTGGGGCTTCCGGTCATGTACATCGACAGAGTACTGTATACAAAAACTGCACTCGGTCCAAAAATGGCGACACTTGTCCACGTATTCCACATCAGCTCATCTTCGAGCTTCCTCGAGGGACTTGCGAAGCCTGTCAATTTCATCCTGATCCTCAGCCAGGGCAGCCTCCTGCTGCTTTGCCCAGCCGCTGAGGGACTCCTTGACATCCGCACCCGCCTGTTCGTACTCCTTGTTCCACTCATCAAAGGCCTTCTCGGCCTCTTTCTGGGTCTCGAAGACACCCAAGAGGTACTTGTTCCCGAAAGAGTCAATGGCTTCAGACTTGTACAGCTTCTCGGCCGTACCCCAGTTGTGCTTGAACCTCAGGCTACGGTGTTCAGAGGGAACTGCCTCGGACAACATACGACGAATCCTTTCGCTAGATGCAAAACATGAAAAATGCGTTTGCAAAGCAGACATCTGTACTGGAACACGAGCTCGAACTCGTAAAGGCACGAAGGATGATGTTTCATGCTGCGCCCTGCGTGCTGCAATCAGCATGTTTTTGGCGACAATATAGCGACATGCTCTGTGGAGCTTCGAACTCCGATGGCGTGAAGGATTTGGGGTTTTGTTAACGGCGTCAGGAAGCTGTGCCTGTGTAGACACTGGAACAGGACAGATGAAAGAACCTGATCCCTGGCCCCCATCTTCTGCGCAAGAGCAATGCTAAGGCTGCCGCTCGCCCTCAAGGACGGCAGGGATCTTGGCCAGGTCGGCAAGCATCTCCTCGTCCAAGGGCGGCATCGGGGTGTCGGAGTATTTCGGCATGACCTTGAAGATCTCTTTGACGATGTCCGCCTGGCACACGCGCAGCAGACCTACAACCTTCCCACTAGTGCTGCAATATGCTGCAATCCTTCTCCTACCCACTTCATCCCACTCCCCACTTCCAGCCTTCGTCTTGCCGGGGACGTTCTTCTGGGAGCGGAAGAAAGCCTTCAGGTCCTGGACCTTCTTCTCGTTGGCCTCCCGAGCCTCATAGTACGCGGGGATGAGCTCGGCAGCCGCCTTGAGAAATTCATCTGGCGCAGTCCTTTGGTTGAACTCCTTGACCTCAGCCTCGGAGTGGTTTGCCTTGTAGTCCTCAATCTCCTGTGCCAGCGCCAAGGCCTTCTGGGCGAGGCGCTCATGCAAGACCCTGGGGAACCTCACCTTGAAGTCGTCGGAGGGCGGGTTCTCCTTCAGCATCTTGTCGATCTCTGCCTTCAGCTCTTTCGGGGCGCTGGGGGCACTGTTGGCCTTGGCGATGAACTTGTGGACCTCCTCCGCGGTGTCCTTGGAGAACTTGTAGGCATCCTCAAAGGGGGCACTGTCCGAGACCGTCTCGTCCTTCTCCTCGGCCACGCGCGCCTTCATGGATGCGAACATCCACCGGCGGTCGGCATCGCGGTCAATCTCGACAACGCGCCTCTTCAGGCCGAAGTCATAAGAGACCAAGGCCGCCTTGTTCTTCAAGGCGTCGTAGTCCGGAGTCCTCTGATCCGCGTCCTGGGTCGCTTTATTGCCATATTGCAGTGGAGGATTTAAGCGGGCTTTGAAGGGGCGATAGGGCAACCTAAGCAACCACATCAGAGTTCTCCCTCTGCTGTTAGGACCCTCCGGGTCCTTCTTGTAGTCTTCCTTCTCCTCAGTGCGCGAAAGAGCTGAAGAGTGCGGATCATGCCCGTAGGGAAAGGGTTTTGACCCCCCACCCCTCTCGGGATCGAGGGGCCTAGCGTGGATTCAAGCAGCTTAGCCATCAAGCGAAAGCTTGTTCATGCAAACTGCCGTGTTCAGGCTTTCGGATGCAATTCCCAAATCCGAGACCCCCGAATTTACGAAACTCAGGTGGGAATCCGGGCTTCTCTGGGGGGGGGGGGGGGTTGGCCTGAATAGCTGAATGGTAGGGGGAAGCAAAACTGTTCTGTATGCAACTTCGTCTCGTTGTCGAAGAATTTCTTGAGAACCTTGGCAAAAGACTGGATCTTCTCTTCTGGGAGGTCCTTGCTGAAGTCGTCGCTCTTGCGGAACTTCTTGTCGAACTCGTTCTGGGCTTGCTTCAAGATCAAAGACTGCTCATCCTTGCTCAGAGAGTCTTTCCAGGCGTAGAAGTCATCCTTGAATCCCCGCATGGCTGTGCGGCTTTGCTTCTCAGGTCCAGCGCCAGAGGTTACGAAGGACTGCGACTTCCCAGCCAGCAATGAAACCAGGCACCACGCTCCAGCGCCCAGCAGCACCGCAGGAAGCAGTCGAACAGATTGAGTCATGACTACGACACTACGGACAGAAGAAACTGCCTGAAGCCCCTACTACTTGAGCCAGTACCTGCTGCCACGCACTCCACAGGCACGATCAATGACAGCACTAGCTGGACTTGCTAGCAGATTGCTCCTACAAAGCGCTCGTGCCTTCGGCAAGAACCGGTGGATTTCGCTCGACCTTTCGAGCGGTCAGTGGCATCGCGATATACGGTGATAACCATGCGAGACAGCAACTTGCGCAAACTACCGTTTTGCTCAGACGCTTGAGGCTGTCGAACCTTGCCACCAATGTCAGACATCAACACTTGCCTGACACACGGCGATGCGTCCCAAATGGGCTGCCAGGCTTCGAAGCCTGCACTCGGTTCACTTCACTAGGCGCATCGGAAACACAGCAATCCCCACGGCAAAGTTCTCCAATTTCTCAAGCTCAGAGTTGCAGGCCGAATTCTTGTGGCCAGAAGATGCCGGCGTCGAGCCTCAAGAATGTTCCAGCAACGGCCGCTTTCGTGGCATCCACAAACACAATACGAGCACTTTTGCACAAGCTGCCCTGTGCGAAAAGTATCTCATGCTGAAAAGGTAGTGTCCTGAGAGATGTTTATGACATGAGAACGTCACCCTTGTCTTGCGGTCATCTTCGTCCAAGGCATCGCTGGCTGAAGCTGGTCATCGTGAAACTTGCCATGCAGAGCTTAAAAAAACTACAGGCAGGGCCTCCTATAGCTTCTCAGACAGAATGGCCCGATGAGCGATGATGGCTTTGAGGATGACATGGATAGTTTCAGTTCCACTGACCAACCATATACGCATACAACAGAATCGGCTGGACTGGTGGTAACAATGGTGATAGACGGCAGAGGCCATGATCATAGCAACGATGGTCACAGGTGTTCTTGTTTCTTGTTGGCTGTTGGCTGTTGGCTGTTGGCTGTTGGCTGTTGGGTGTTGGTTGTTGGTTGTTGGTTGGTGGTTGGTGGTTGTCGGTTGTTGGTTGGTGGTTGGTGGTTGTTGGTTGTTGGTTGGTGGTTGGTGGTTGGTGGTTGGTGGTTGGTGGTTGGTGGTTGGTGGTTGGTGGTTGTTGGTTGTTGGTTGTTGGTTGTTGGTTGTTGGTCGTTGGTTGTTGGTTGTTGGTTGTGCTTGTTGTTTCGAAAATATGCACTTGCCCATAACATGTTGCTTGGCTACTGCGTTTTCACACCACCCCCACCCACCCACCCACCCACCCACCCACCGCTAGGAAACCTTCCCACTCTGCGAAACAACATACTTCAAGCAGGACATGCAATACATGAATGTTGCGCATCTGTGCACTGCAAACCGAGGGAGCAGCTTTGTCGCAGGCCAGGAACCTCGCAGGCCACCTCACATCCAATCTAATGCAATCGATGCCAACTTCCGACACGTATCCACCGACCCTAGCTGTGTACATTCTATTAATATTGCGTGCTTTCTCTTCGTTTCATTACCAATATTAATATAATGTTCTCTTCGTATTACTTTATTACTATCCCGGGCAAATACGATATTAAATTATAGCCCGGGGTAAATTGTAAGAAATATGAAGAGAACATAGTATATTAAATGAACGTGTTAAAAGCCCCCATTCTATTATTAAATTTCATGCGTCGTTCGCTCCTTATAAATTTAATATAGAATGAAATGGTCTTTTAGTGTGCCTTTCCAACCTTATAGAATTTAATGCACACAGTAAGACAACTGAAGCACATTATTATTCTATTTACACGCGCCAGTAAAATAATGTAGGCGCGAATATAATATAAAAACCCCCTTAACAACCTAAAATTGTGTCTCAAAGTTGGGGCGTTTCCTGCACTTTGCTCGCTTACTCACATCTCCCATTAAAAGTAGTGTCATTATGTTCATTCATATCACTCCTTTGTTCACTTATAGAATACGTACGGGTTAGTTATTCACTCATAAGCCCTTATATTATTCCTGAGCGCCAAGTGAAGCACCTCCTTCAAGCAAAACCAAAGCCAAGTACCACCTGAGCCAGGGCCTTGGTCCCTGGACCCCCAGGGGCCTGTTGTTAAACTCTTTAGGTCTTAGGCCGGGCCCCCCTCAAACCCCGATTCGAAAATGGCTGGGCGTGGGCTCCACCTCCAGACTTCAAGTCTCACACGGCTGCTTTCGAGATACGGGGCTTCGGACAATGCATACCACTGCGCAGCATGTGCTCATTTGCCGATCTTTCTCGTAAGGAAACGACCAACTCCAGGGCAGCTTCCAGAAGACTGCTCGAGAAGCCGAAAGTCTCAGGCGCACGGCGGCAGTCCAGCACTCGATACGTGGCAAACATCCTCACATGCATTGTGAGGCCATGTGCGAACCCCGAAAGTCATGAGGATAGCCTCCAGACGAGCAACCACACCTTGGAGATATGCATCTCCCCACGAGGGGCTGAGCTCAGCAGTCACCAAGCAAGCTCTGTCAGAAAGGCACAGAAAGGCAACCCCCTGTTGTGCGCTCAGTCTGGGCGGGTCGAAGAATTGAAAACTGTGTAACCTTCCTGGCTTGCCCTATGGGTAAACTGACGGAAGCTATCTGGCATGGCCAAAGGATTCATCAAGCACCTCACAACGCCCAGAGGCCCGGAGTCTGCTCAACTTCCAAAAATGATTAAAGATCGACGTGCAAAATGCGCGAAAGCGTTGGAAAACACATGCCATGCACCTGACCCCCTCATGGGATGAGGTGCATGGTCTTATGCCGAGTCGTTGGTCAACTGCTTTCTTGGGCTGCAGACACTCGCAACATACTGGCCCATGGCCTTAAGTATCGAGGTCTCTCGCTGAGGGCGCAGAAGCACCAGATAGCCTCGATCACATGAGAGTTCACTGGGTTCAGGATGCAACCGCATGAGTGACATGAGGGATCGTGACTGCCTCTTGCCCCTGCTGTTCGACATACAATCACTTGTCGAGGGGCGCATACGCTTTGATTGCAACGACTTGCCCTCAGGTGTTGTGAAGAATGGGTTCTCCGTCATCTCGCAGCTGATCCTAAGCAGCACTCACCGATGTCCTACGCAATGATGCAGTGCCAGCTAAGATTTTCCAAACTTCGCCAAGTTGCCTGTCGGTGCTGTACATGCGCACCATGTTGGTGAGCGTTTTCGCCTGGCAGGTGCTTGCGAAAGCTTCTCAGCTGCTCAACCATGGCCTGAACTGAAAGGCCCTCCCCGATGCCTCGTCCTCAAAGAAAGTGCCGAAAAGGCAAATGCCCTGCTCTGCAGCATGGACGATTGAACCGATGATTGGAAACCAGGATCCCCCTCCTCAGCTCTCGTCTCAGCAACGATAAACAGAGCCGATTTGCATGGATGCATGCTGGCTTTCTCAGAAGACTAGCTAGGCAGGTCGCAAACAACGAAACCCAACCCTCCCCATGCTAGGGGTCGAAGGTTCGAAGGTTCGAAGGTTAGGGCAGCGCAATATAGCCCGCACTCGTGCAGTTTCTTGGGGGGAGCAGCCAGCCAGAAGTGCGCTTCGCCGTCACTTACCCTCTGGTCAAACCTTGTCAAAGGTCCCGCAGTTTTGAAACCCGTGGCCTCTCCTTGCTCCTTGATATTGTCTCCACAGCATGCCCAGGACAGTGCTATATCTGCATATATGTAAATGCCTATACAAGTAAAAACCAATGCACATATACACATATATACATGTAATTGTACAAAGAAATGTGTGTATGTATGTGTGTGTGGGTGATTGTGTTGTATTTGTAACGTTTTTGCATACGTATGTATACGTATGTATGTACATACCTACATACCTACATACCTACATACCTACATACATACATACATACATACATACGTGTATATATTATATACATATATATGTGTGTGTGTGCTTTTATAAGTACTGCAAATGAGAATAATATGCTACATATTCTTATTGTGGTAATTTACTTCTTGATGTACACTGGTATCCACAGATCTTGTCCTTTGCTTCAGTTTGTTTCCTGCAGTTTTGCGTGCTTCATGAAGCCAAGCTTCTCGTGACCTCAGGATGAGAGGCAACTGTGAGCGCTGCCCGGGGCAGTGGGTCGATGTGAAGGTCACGAACCTGCGTTTGGACCTCGAAGGCCAGCAGCTGGCATGAAACTACGTCCACCTGTGTCTTTCCTACATGCACCTCACTACCTCACCGAATGCAACCATGGCACTTCAATCTGCGGATGAAACTCGGCAAACCAGCGCTTCGCAACTGCCCAGTCGTAATAAAATTTATCCTGGCTGTCTGTGGCGAATATCCGTATCCCACGCACACCAGGCAAGGTCAGGCAGTGCTCGGCCAAGAAGTTGCCAAGAAGAGCATATTCTTGGAACCGTCCGCAGAAGGGCACATTTACAACAAGCATGCCCTGGGCGTCGGCCTTCACAAGCGGGCACCATGTTTGAGCAGAGCCTTGAAATCTGAGAAAATCTGAGGACAGTAGATTTGTAGGACCCAGCCTCCAGGGTGCTGATCCCCCCGGACTGGCGAAGCTGCTCCAAGGCCGCCAAGAAAGACCCCCGAACAGTTTCGGTTTGAAGCGGGTTGCGAGACACCTGGGGGCATCGTGCACATGGTTACGACCCTGCCTTGTGACAGCGGCTGAGCTAGGCTGGGAGATGCTACACACCACATGCTCCGACATCCCCTCATGAGCACAATTGCAGTCTTACAGCCCGTCACGTCGAAATTGAAGAACGCCTGCAAGAGTTCGACGACGCGAACCACCGCCCATGCGCCCTCAAGATTCTTCAGCTCCACAAGGTGGCCCGGCTGCACGTTCTGACAGGACACTTCTTTGACTTCTTCGAGGTGCACAAGCTAGGCAAGTGCTACACAAGCTGCAGGAAGTTCTAATGAGATTCTAATGAGCTTCTCAGGAGCTGCGCTCCGGAAGCGCAAACACCCCCAGCCTCCGGAAGCTCAAAATTCAGAAAAGTTCCATCCGGCAGCTGAGGCTTGAGAGCCTGTTACAGGGCAATTTCCGGTGAGCGACTTCTAGAACCGCCCCGGCTGCCATCGGCTGCAATCGGCTGCAAGCAATTCCAGACGAAAGACGACAAGCACTGTCCACGTGGTACAGCGACAAGCTTGGCCTGACCAGGCTTTGCGTCCGGCGGGACTGCCAAAGCAAAGTGCATCGGTTGCCTTCACGGGTTTCCATTACTCCATGTCTGGTCAGCCATATCTCGGGCCATGTCTAGCATGTGGTGTGTGCGGACTCGCAGCGGCAAAATCCGGGTCATGTCTCACAGACTGATGATTCGATGCCAGTCCTGGTCAATCTCCACAGGCCATCAAGCCGTTGCATCGCCACCACCTTGTCGCCTCCCTGGAAGCCCTGCTTGTCAAGCATGGCACACACACGGCATGCATAAATGCAGTGTCCACAGGCGTCATCTTCTGCAACATGCAGATGCATGCAACGGCCGTAAACAAGCACAACGGACAAGGCGATAGGCACTCTCTTTCGCTGCTGTCTCTGTCGTCCCTTCCGCCTCGGGCATCCTCACCGAAACTTTCTTGCCATCGACTTGAAAGGTTAGGTGGCAACCCGGCTCGCCTCACAAATCACAGCTCAGCTTCCCTTTCCGCATCCAAAGTCTTTAAGTGCACCCGACGCTGCTTGCAGATGCGCCACTCGTCGGAGGCACCTGGAACGTCAGACGCCTGTCACGCACGAAGGGCTCGTACACATCTTCGCTCCACTGCCCATATCTTGCAAGACGAGGTACGCTTGAGGTAGTTTCTTTACAGAAGGTCTAGAAAACGATGCGAGAAAAATTGGGGCAGAAACAACAAACATATTGTTTTTTTCCACATTTGCGAGGTGGATGGCGCGGTTGCTGGTAGCGTTCCCATGTCTTGCAGATGCTGCTAGCAGTGCTGCATGTTGCCATGTGATGTGAGAGTCATGCTCACCTACTCTTGCTCCAGGTTTGCTTGTGGCCTTTGCGGTTGTGGCAGCGTGACAGCTTCCTCCCAGCTGCAAGGCTCTGGCACAGGCCTCAGATGCTGCATGACGTACATCGAACAAGCTACGGACCGTCGGCATCCTTATCCTCTATCTGCTGTCATCTGATGGGTACCCGTTATGCAGGAGGATGCACAGGCAGCTACCACCTGGCTTGAAAGAGCCGTCTGAGAATCCAGGCAGTGATGGGTCGCAGTCGTCAGCTGTCAGCACAACTTTCGGCACTTCGATGGGGCACAACCTGTCAAAGCTGCTGGTTCTTGCTTGTTCTCTTGTTCAAGCATATGGATCGTGTGGCTTGTGGCCTTGTGATAATCTTGCCGGAGTCAGGACTCGGGCTTGTATCTGTTGTGTCAGCGTCTTCCATGGCCGGCGTCGCTGAGCACTTGTTGCAGTGTTACTTGAAACCTCGAAAGAAGCACAGCAACAGCTAGCAATTAAGTTTGAAGAATGCCATCTACTAGTAGAGCTACCAGAGTGCTTTCCATAAGCGAGAGAATCATGGAGCAAGGTGTCACAATGAGAGCCACCTAGACTCCTAAGTGCCCTACACATTAACAAATATCTTTTTCAAGACTTGGGCCACACCAGGAGATGTCACGAACATCCACATGTTGAGCATGCGATCTGTGGGACCTGTGCATTCAGAAACCCATGCTACACTGGCTACACGCTAGGTCACAAGCTTGCCATTCGCGGGACGTCATCACGAAAGCCTGGGTTATGGAGAACAAGCGCACGCAAGCTTGCAATTAGAACTCGACCCGATAGACAACCGTTAACTACAGCTCATGTGCAGCAGCGGAAAGCGCGCTGACAGCAAGCAGCTTGCAGCAGCATTGAAGTAGGAGGTCTGGCTTTGGCAAAGCACGAGAGAACTGCCAGTTCACCTGCTTGCGGGTCTCAAGCGTATTGCCCATCAAGGCTGCGACCCAGAGATGCCAACAGCTTCGCAGCATGGCGGCTTCCGCTGGCCTTGTTGCATTCGCCCGACCGAACTTTACCTAGCTGTTCATGAGATCAGTGCCCCGCCTCCCATCCCTTTGGCCGATGGTTCGTGGGCACTGTCCGGATAGTTGCAGCCTGGCTTTGACGCTTATCTGCCCGCACCACACTTGGAGCCTACTTTTCGCACTCACGCACAGTCTGGAAGTTCGTTTCCGACGAGTGTTGGCCGTTTGATCGGCAAGGCCTGGCTCACCTTGGCGCTCGCAATTTTCCGGCACCACAAGGAGGTCTTCCACAACACTTGCCGAAGCGCACACACCCCGCGCACCGCGCAGCTTCAGTGGCCAAGTAGTGCCGAGCTTCATGACAGCCTGCCTCGGGTTGAAGAACGATTGTCTGTCGGGGGCCCTCGAAGACCCAGGATCTCCAGAAGCTCCCCGTTGCGCGCTGCAGCTTGCCAGCGTTCGAGGAGCTCTTGGTCCACGGGTGCCAGCACGTGGCAGGCAACGGTTTTGGGATCCCGACTCGCAGGTCGCCCGACCCCTATTCGAAGTCTCCTCACTCCAGGGTCCAGCGATTGGAAGACACTCCGCACACCGCGGTTTCCTCCGTCGGATCCTCCATCTCGAGTTGCCCAGCAGAAACGGTCAAGGTCTATATCATCGTGCAGGAGGACTAGCTGATGAGATTCCAGTCCAAGCACGACGCAGGCGCGTCGGACGGCGAACCCTGACAAGTTGTAGAAAGTGCCGGGGATGAAAAGGATCAGCGTCAGCTCATTCACTCTTGCATGGGCCACCCATCCGAAACAGCTCCACCACCATTCCCAGTCGAGATCTAGCTCCTCGGCAAGGCTCTCAAGCACCAGCGAGCCCAAGTTGTGCTTTGCTTGCTGCGGAAGAGGCCATGGATTCGCCAGGCCAACCAAGATGTGGTCCATGCAAAGACTAGCTGACCAGCTGACTCAAATCGACTCTGCTAGCATGCCATGGCCAAACTAAAAAAGGGCCACAGATCAAATTAGTTCTCTGATGAAACTACGTATACGGAACCGAGACTCACACTCGATGCCCTCGATGCAGCCTTGACGGCAAGATAGCCAACATTTGCAGCTGTGCTTGCATCCGGGCACACATCAACCTTCCACCGTGCTCACTTGGGCCGGACTGCTTTCGTGGCCCAAACGCATGAACCTTCCACCGTGCTCACTTGGGGCCGGATTGCTTTCGTGGCCCAAACGCGAACTCCAAAGCAAAGACCCGCTGCTGTAGCAAGACGACAAAATGCACCACATCGCGCCCAGCTTGACTAGGATTCCCATCGCTTCCCAAAAGCTTTGGCGGCAGCGCGCACCTTGATCGTCAAGAACCAAGCGTAGTCCAGCTCCTCCCTCCACAGCCTCGGACCTGAGACTCGCACTCTCGGCCCAGGCCCCCAACAAGAAAAGAGGACCCCTAAAACAAAAACACCCTAAAGAACACCACACGGAGTCCCCCACCTGGGCCTTCGGATCCGTCCTGGCTCGCGAGGCCACCTTGTCTGCCCGAGTCTGCCCGCGCACGCCTCTCGGTTCCCCAGGTGCATCGGAGTGCGGCCTTTCTTGGACTCTTGGACCCCGACGGAAGATCAAGGCCGGGTCGCCATCCAGACCCAGCCTGCGCGGCGTCGTTCCGTCGTTCAACACGAGCTCATTCCCCCAAAGCAGGGAACATACTGGAACGGCGACACGGGCGTTCCCGGACCTTTACTTCCAGTTGACTTCTGAGTCCCTTCTGAGTCCCCTTGGACTAGGCAACGGCGAATGTGGCTCTCATTGCCTCTCCGTGCTTTCCGATTTCTGGCCTTGAGTATGCCTCCTGAAATTGCTCCAAGCTGATAGACTTCACCTGCCAAGGTACCGACATGTACCGACAGGAAGGTCAAGGCATCTTATTCCAAGAGCTTGCAAAAAGCGAAAGCCGGCCTCAGCACCTGGCGAGCCGTTGGTCAGCAAGCCCCATGCCTCAGATTCCAGAGTCCACCAGCTCCCTATGGCATATTTGCATAATTATCCCCGGGCAAATTTTGAAAGGAACTTTCCAACTGCAGCTCCCCGCTCGGTTGAGGTGATATCCCAGCAACGTGAACACCTCCTGGAGAAAGTCTCGCGGGGGGGCACACCATTGAACTCAAGTCTGCCGAGCACAGGCCATCAACATCCATCAACCAAGTCAGTCCCCCAAAAAAAGGGCTCTTCGTACGTACAAGCTCCTTGAGCCCTCAGCTGTCACACCGAAAGCACCTACACAGAAGCCCAGAACCTGTTCCTACCTGCCTCGCTGAAGCCTGAGCCTGAAGTCGTAAGGTGGAAAAGGAGCAGCCATGACGTGCATGGCCGTTTAAGTGCTACCTGCGGAATGATGTGGAGAGGGCCGGTTTCATGCGAGATCGAAATGAGCTTTGGGCCCCTTTTGCTGCTGGACTCGTTTTCAACTCACTGCGGGCAGCAGTGGCATCTTCAGCTCAATTGCCACAGGTGATTAAGCAAACTGGACGCATCAGCGGACCGCTGCTTGGCCAAAATCGAAAACACCAGTTAAGCACTTTCATGAGCGCGGGTGCCTCGCAGGAACGTGAATGATTCTGCACTTGCTGCACATGAACTTGCGTGTTACGATTGAACTCAGCTTTGCAACAACACGACGTTGACATCAGCCGACTCCTCTGTGAAAGCATACATGTTGGCCGCTTCGGCCGGCCTGTGCGACACACGCGACCGTCACCATCTAGACACCTGCCCGTGCACGACCCAAGCACGATGACAATCCGAGATCTCTACGCAAGATCGCAGATCTCAAGAGGATGTTGTGGGCCGCCAGATGGCCTTAACCTGGAGTAACAAAAACAATGTGCTGCGAACATTCCACTGGATGTTGTCATTGTATGTTGACATGAACTGAACAGGTGGCGAGCGCCGGACGCTTGCCAGATCGTTGGTGCATCATCACCAAAGCCTAAAACAAATAATACGTTCATCTCAGATTCGTCTTTCTAACCATGAATGCATTTGAGAATTGCGCCTACGACTCGGCACACCCGCTCCAGGTCAGACCGCTGAACGACCCCATGGCCTGCATCAACGCATTGCATCGATCTACATCGACTATCGACTGCATCAATCAGTCGGCGCGACACAACTGCACCAAGAGGAATCTGGCGCATCATTCATCTCGTGGTAGAACGAAGGCTTTTTTTCATGCCAGGCGCTGCACGAGCCAGTCGAGATCGGTTGCGTCAGGCTTCCATCCCGACAAGCTCTTCCCTGTTCGTCTCGAGTAGAAGAACCTGTGCTCCAAATGAAGTTTATCACATCTTGATGGGAGTTTGGTATGATACTTCAGCCCAGGTCGAATGCTTTTGTCTGAGGGTGGCTACATGGTCCCTTTCTATGGGCCCTTAAAAGGGGACCCCTTACACACCCCCTATGTACCGCAGAAAACCGAGGGGCCATACTTCAGAACCCTTTACAGGAGGTAAGGGATCATATTGAGGCTGCACTAGGCGAAAGGGGCCTATCCTTAAATGAATGCTAATGTGCCGTCCAGGCACGGCACGCCATTCCCTCCCAGTCGGCGAAATTCCTGCACTGCCTTGACGCAATGGAAAGACATGAAATGCATGAAACAGTCAAAAACGCGCAGCCAGGACTTGCAAGCACTTCTCGAGCATCAGGAGGCAGGAGCCAGGCCTCTTTCGACCATTCTACATCTTGAAGCTCAAAGTCTGCCAGACCACGGCGCTTTAACAGCTCGAAGGCCGCGACACAGTGCGGACCTTGATCTGGCATCAAGGTTCGAAGATTGCTACCGGACACTTCAAGACTGGAGAAGGTTCTCATGCCCACTACCACCGGCAGTTGAGGCACATCCACCTCGTGCAAAGAGCACGATCTCCTTCAGTGTCTGGCAACTTGTGACGGCACTCATATTCCATAGTTGGCGGAAATAAGAACAGCAGCTGCAGTCAAGAATCCAAGTCTTTGTAGCGTTGGGCATCCCAGGGCAGCTGACTCCCTTTGGACTTGGATTTGGGAGCATCTGAAGTCCTCTCCTTCGTCTTCGTCCTAGGCTCTGCCAAATCTCCTTCAAAAGCTGGGTCCTAGGTCTATGTGTCACACGCTAGGTCTATGTGTCACACGTGCACGCGTGTCACACGCGGGTGCAGACAGAGAGCCTCAGAATTTCTTTCGCCTCCTTCGCTCGCTGTACGAACTCACCCCTCTCCAACAGCTCCCGCGAGCTCAGGCCGGCCTCGCAGTCAGAAACAAAAGCCAGGAGACGCAAGGAGTACTCAGATAGAACTTGTCAGCATCATCTTCTAGGTCGCCGCAACTAATGCAACTCCAGCTTAGAGGCTTGGACTCACCTGGTGGATGAGGTTTCGCAGCTCGGCAATTGACATGGAGGCCAGCTCTTGATCCTTGACCCCACCACCAGGACCTTGGTGGAATTGGGCGAAGCTGCGGCTGCTACGTCAGATCACGCCGGAGAAAAAGCATTTCTCAACACTTGGCACAGCCGTCAACCAAGAGTCTGCCATCTGCCTCGCGTGTGCTGGACGTAGTCTTCTCCGAAGCTGACTTCCTGCCGGGTCACCCCAGGTCAACACTTCAGGGAAGGAAAACGCGGTGGCAGCATGTGGCAGCATGTGGCAGCAGTGGCACCTCAACTTCTCCACCAAGTCGCGCTTCTCAAAGCAGTCCTGGCCAGCCAGTCCTACACAAGCATCTCCCAAGCTCAAGCGAACCTCAAGCTTTTCTCCAGCCTCCAGATCCACACCTCGCTGTCTCGCCAAGTCCTGGAGCTCCCGAATGGGCAGCGCCTGCGATGGCCCATGCTGGCCCTCCGCAAGGCCCTCTGCAAGGTCCTCTGCAAAGCCCTCTTGAAAATTCCTGCATTATGTAATGACCTCATTCATGTAATTTCACGACTCGCGCCAACGAGCTAGGTGCTTCTCAACAACCTGCACCTGGAGGCCCCACTACCCTTGGCATTGGCATCCGGAACTCTCTTAACCCATCCGAGGCCATGGATGCACCCTCTGTTTATGCTTTTTGTAGAGCCCAAGTCGGCGGCCCAAGAAACGCCTTCCCATGGGGACAACTCTGGAAAGCGCGCGTGCCTCTCCCGTATGAACGGCAACTCAACTCACCGGCCTCAAGGTCTTGTGCTGCGAGGCCTCTGGCCTGAGCGAAGTTACTTGCACCAGCCCCTTCCGCTTCCCGACTTCTCTGATTGGCTCCTGGTCTTTGAACCTCAACAAGCAGGACAAGGCACCTGCGCGATGCAGAATCCGCCGCCTTGCGGCAGACTCAGCAGAGCTCCGCAGCGGCCCAGACGCCAGGCCGTTCGCGCAGAACATGCGGCTCGCATGCTACTAGAAAGATCTACTAAAACGTCGTGTAAAGCTTTCAACTCGCTTCACAGCCTTGCCGGGAAGGAATGCCATGGTTTATCAAGCATTGCAGCATCTCTGCAGGAGACCTAAACACAGGATGTTGCTGTGTTCCTTCTTCACAGGGATGGTTCAAAGAGAGCCCAAGACGGGTGCCAGAAGCGATGCATTGCGACAAGCAGACCAACCTGCCATCCACCAGCGCTGCCCGTACAACCGCAACTCGTGCCCTCGTGATCCCTCGTGCCTCGGATGTCGAGATCCAACCTCCAGGCCCTCAGTACGGTTCCACGACTCTTCCTGCGGGGGGTCATGGTCGATCACTTGGCTGGTTCGCTAGCCGCGTGGCCGCCTCAAGGCCCCGCAGAAGCTGTTCACGAGGCTGGATTCTGCTCGCTGGCGAAAGGCCTGAAGCCTGGCAAGCTCCCAGCCCGCAAACTCCCGAAGCTTTGATACCTATGTCTGGCTCAGCCTCGGTAGCAACTACAATGAATGGACTGCCTCGCTCTGGGACACAAATTTCTGGCTGCCGTCAACTAAGATTTCACATATGCCGACCAGGTCAGCCTCGGATTCGGAAACTGGCGGATTCGGAAACTGGAAAAACCTGATTCTGGAAACGTTTCCTGAATCGCGTAGTTTCCTGAATCCTGGATTCCTGAACCCTGGTTTCCTGAATCGCGGCCAGTTTCTGAATCGCGCATGGTTCTGCCGACCACACCCTTCGTGATCCCTGGCCCAGTGGCCCAGTTCTAGCAACAGCTGAAGCCATATACTTGCCGGCCAGACTGCGACAGCGTCAGGCTTTCCACACCTCACAAGTTCAGGAAAAGTGCCGAAGACTCACGCCCCATGCCCAAGATTGAAGCTGCGCGCGCGCCCGCCTTCCCGCAGCCGATGCTGGTCCTGCAGGTAAAACCAACGATCACGGCGTATACCGAGACATTCAGAGGTCACGCGCACTCAAACAGCACGACCTCGACTTCGCATCTTTGGAAGATGCTTTGCACCAGCATCTGCGCATCGGCCTTCAGGCAAGGAAACAGGAACTCCTCCATCTCATTACGTCGCTCTCTCTTTCTCTCTCACGCACACGGACGGAGCGATAAAACGTTTGATATTGAGGACAAGCACGCGGTCGTAAACGCAAGCCATTTTTCGAACATGTGGTAGATTGTGGTAGTGAACAGTATGACGCAATCCGCATGTTGTTTTCCTGTGGGATCTGCGTTCTTCAGCTTCACTTGGCGAAGCTGAATTGGTCTGGACATGCCTTGCAACACTTGGCACGGCACCCAATTTGCTTGAATGAAACGACATGCATGATAGTCCCGCAAGCATCAATCCGAATCCTCCTCAGCCTCCTCCTTGCCGTTCGAGCCTCCAGATGTCACACTCTTGACTTTCAATGTCTTTTTCCAGGCAGAGATCTCACTGTCAGCCGTCGCCTCCGTGCAAGCCACGAGTTCGTTCTTGTTGGAGGGCATTCATCGCGCTCGACCATTGAGAGGCTCTGCCACCAGAAATGAAGGTTCTTGAGCGACTCCAAAGAAGTTGAGAGGACACTTGCTTTATAGGAGGCAAGGACCTTGTCCCAGTCATAGGAGTTGGTTTGAAGTTTCGTCATGGCTGAAGCTGGCGGCATCGACAAGTAGTCAGCCCGAACATCCGAGCCTGTGGCATCCGAGTTGATTTGTGCTAAAGCTGCGGAGAAGGTGCCTCGACGAGTTGTTCCCTTTGGGGCTGTTGCCTCAACCTTCTTCTGCCTCTTTTTCAGAGCTGCTAGCGTGGCGAGGTCAGCGGTGCTTGGAGGATTGTCGCAAAGCTCCTCCACGCGATCTTCAATGTCCATGTCGTTGGACTTCCGGGGCTGGTAATACAGCACACGACAGCGGTACTGATAGATCTCCTTGGTAGCCCAGTAAAACCATACAATAATAAGGGCACAGTTTGTGGGGTTGGTTGCTTTATAAGCGAACCTTGAACAAGAAAAGGGAACAGGGTACCACTGGGCTACCAAGTCTCGCTCTTCACATTGACAGCACCGCTTTCCAAAGCTGCCCATTTGTTCACGAAGTTCAATCGGCTGATTGAGGTCAGAACAAAAGCACTGATGCAGGGCAGACTCACTCGGAGCTCTTCCTTTTGCAAAGGTGAGTCCGGGTTCGTCGTGCTCTCGCGATACAAGATAGCAACCACGGTCACGACAACCGAAAGTACCAGGGCACTGTACTGGAGGACTCTGGCTCTTCTTCGGAAAATCGTCGCATTGTAGGAATAGAGCAAGTACTGTTCCCAAGCATATCGAAGACGATTCTCCTCGCTCTTGGCAAAGCCAATCTCCATCATTTCATCATCTTGGACGGTCGACAGAACGAGTGTCAACTTGTTGATGACCTTTTCAACTGAATCCTTTGCTGGATTCAGGATCAGGAACTGATCGTCAGGCACGTTTTCCGGAAGCTCATTCAGCATGATGGGGTTGGCGTCTCCTCAGAACTGCAGCGCCCAACATTTCTGCCGCGCCCCCGGTGTTGTGAAGAGACACACAATGGGCACGCCTGACACTGCCTCCATCAAAATCTTCCCATCCACGCCAGGTTGAGTGAGAGCCTCATTCCCGTTCGCAAAAACTGATGCCCGCGTAGCCAGAGAGCGGAGCTTGATTCTCAGTCTGTCCAATGTTTGCTGACTCTGGACAAATATGATGTGAGTAAGAGCATTGCAGAGAAAGCGCCTCGTGATTTGGGCACGCACCTCTAGCTCCAAGTCAGCAACGCTCTTGGCACTCTTCCCCGCGTCTTCATCGGGATCTAAGCCCCGGAGATCCTGCTCATTGGCCGCTGCCTTCCGATCGCTTCCAAGCTCTGGAAACAACTGACTGTTGACAGATGGGTACATCACTCCTTCAACTCTTCCTGCTTGTCAAGAGGGCCGGATGCAGGCACAGCCTGTGCACACTTTAGAAAACTTTCCTTGAACTCCGTGTCCTTCAACAAGCGCACACAGAACACCACGTTGTCGGTCTTGTGTCCTGCCAAGCATCCAAAGGCGGACCAATAGACCTTTAAGCCGTCCATCAAGACTTCGTTCAAGCCTCCTCTAGGTCCAGTGCCCAGATCAAACCATCCCCCACATTCCGTCACAGCTTGGCCAACACCTGATGAGATCTCTGACAGTCGGCTGGTGAACTTCTGTCTGGACTGCCAATCCTCCGTGGCGCCAGTGGCCGTCGCCCAGGCCTCTCGGTTTCGGAGTGTTGGTGAATTGGCCCAGTTCACATAGTGATCCCTTCCGCCATGGCAAGACAGTAAAAGATTTGGAGGCTTCAAGCACCATCCATCTTGGCCACATCAAGCGCAAGATTTCATCTGCACTCTCCATCTCTGGAGGTGCAATGATGTACTTGGCACGGTGACCACCACTACCCAAGCCGCTGAACTCCACCTCCCCTCTGAGAAGCTGCAGCTCTCTGGCAGACAACTGGTTGATGCCGACCGCACTGGCCGATAGCTGCATCTCTTTTATTTGTTCTTGAGCCTTTTCCTGCGCCAGTTTCTGGACAAAGCTCTGGGCTTCGGTGGCTTTGCGGCTACTTCTTCCAACAAGGCGTCAAAATCGGAATCAGCCATCACCACCATCTGGCGCAATGGTCACAAATTTTGAAACTTCATCCATTGGCTCTGCCATTAGCACAATTGTTCGAGAAAGTCGAGGAAACCTGGAGCGCGCATTACATCGAGCCACAAGCTGTCACATCAGCTTCAAGATGGCAGCCCAAGCCAAGCCACTCCCGGTGATCCTTCTAGACAACACCAAGAGAAACCAGCTGGCAGGCCACAGCTGTTTCGAGATAGCTGGCCTTGAATCGCAGCCCTTGCAGGAAACGGACAAAGTCCTAAGAAACAACAGCCAAGAACCTGCGAAGCATCGCGCCACTGCAGCAACGCAAAGTTGAGAGAAGGACTTCTGTTGGAACGCTGCGAAACCTGATCGCCAGCTGTGAGCAGCTCCATCAGCCAGACATCAAAATCGAAACCAGCCGGCAACCACCGGCAAAGCAAATCCAACCGAAGCCAAGCAAACAAGCAAAGCAACAACCAAACTGACTCAGCTTCGAGCTTGGTGCTGCCAACATCTGAACAGGGGCAAAAAACAGGGGCATAGGCCGGGGCTTCTTCCGAGCTGCGCTTTCCAGGATAACCACACGGAGGCTGCCCTCTTAAGGCAAGAACTCGGTGGTTTGGAACCATTCGCCTCCCCAGACAGGCAGAGGCTACCTGCAACGACCTTCTTTTACAGGAAGATGTTGCGACTGTCCAATCAGCACCTGGTCGCTCGGATGCGGCTTTTCGTTGAGAAAGAGGTCGTGTAAAGGCTGCCAGCCTCTGCTATTCATGCTAGTTATCTCAAACCCTTGCCAAGCAGAGGTCGAAAACCAGTGCCCGCCTGTCTCTATTCATGGTGGCATGTGGTTACTAAGATGCACTTGGCTGGCTCGTGAGGCATGGGCAGCGCATCACCCAGCGCAGGAAGTATCGCTCCACCTGGACAGCGGCTCTCTGAGACGTATTTGACATTTGACACTTCCAGTCTGTATTGAAATGGGAGAAGCCTGCCTCCTCCACCTCAGTCACCTCCTGGTTGGCAAGAGGCGCATCCTTGAAAGCGGATGGGTGCAACAACGGGAAATAATCTGCGACGCACGTCGATCTTCAGGCCCCATGCCAACAGGGCAAATGTGACAATGTGTCAAGTGACACAACGCGAAGCAATGAAAGCAGTGAGCCTGAGTATTCTGCGGCCAGCCGCCCGGAGTGAATAGCTTGACCTGGAGAGGGAAGGCCGCGCCGCTTTGAAACAGACACAATGAGCGAAAAACTTCGGAATAACACCTGCGCTGACTTGCACTTGGTCCCATGCAAAGTCGAACTCGTCACGCCATATCTTCCCCTTAAGAAAGAGGTGCCACAGATACAGACCATTTTTGGCAACAGCCGCTCTTACGGGCTTTGTCCAGCACGGGCTGTTGAGTACAAGCATGCTCTTCATGCTGCCCAGTTAGGGCAAGCACTAGCTGTACAGGCAAGTAGGTTGCATGGAGTCCACTGACAAACATAGACTTCTCATGCATTGCTGCCCTGTGCCGACACAATCAGAACCTGTTCTATGTAAGTGTGGACATCCCCTGCATCGTCTCAAAGATCCCACTCTGCAAATGCAGGATCTGCGAAAGGTGCCCGGCTGCATACGCTGAGAGATGAGTGGCTTCAGCCCGTGCAGCGACCATCATGACATTGACTGAAGAATTTTTTAGTAGACTGCACATACGTGCAGCCGGCACCTGCAAGTGATGCTACGAAGATCTACTGCTAAATGCACTACATGGGAATACTATGGAATTATGCAAATAAGATGTGGGCATATACACGAATGCCCCTCGAACGAGCGGGTGCTCCCTCCAATGCCTCTGTGTTTGGTGACAGAGAACTGTGAGGACCGCAGCTCGTCCGACAAAACCACGTGGCCTCGGCTGCCCGAATTAACTCAGTCCCTTCAGACACACTTTGTGAGCAAGAAAACTGTAGGAAACACCGGCCAGAACTCTCGATGCCTGCCAAAGCTGCAACTCATATTCTTGGGAGAGAAGGCGAAGTCCAGCAACTGCCAGCAACATCAACGATTGAAGTGCGGAACTCGGAAAATCCATTTCTCCATGTCGTAGGAAATGAACTTGCCGCCGAACTCCTTCAGAGTGGGTGAGAAATACTCAAGATGTGGGAATGGGGGGGGGGGCCGCGATGCTGCTTCTTTTTCAGAAACAGCAGGCAGGTGCGGGCAAGTGC